CAGTTCGGGAGTATGCCAGTTTTGGAAGAAGCGAAAACAATGGTCTACGTCACCAACCATAACATGATCACCATGGCGATGGTCATTTTCAAAACATACAAAATGGCGGACAAGGGAGAGGAAAGAGTATTGACAGAAATTTTCGTTTATTCTTGTTTCATCGAGCCTTTTATTTATCTTCTCCTAACTATGAATTGGGAAGTACCTTGAGGACAAGGAGTAACCATTCTTGCGCTATAGTTCTTCGCTTATTGCGCGCTTTGTAGGCACTTCGTACTCACTGCGTATGTAATCAGTACATCGAAAATAGGTAAGCACGCTAACAAGTTTGTGCCTATTTCTTTCATTAATTTTTTTTATTATAAGAAAAAAGAATGCTTTGGAAACAACTGAAAAAGTGAGTTGTTCTATAATTTATTTCCTTATGTTTGCAAAGAGTAAGTTTTACTGTAATTTTTCCCGTTGCTTCTGTTTCTCTCTCGGGGAGTGAGCGACTGGCCGGAGAAGACGGCTGTAATTCAGGTTATTGTTTTGGTGCAAGCGAGTCACTTGTGAGTAAAATATCTGTTTTTTTTCGAATATGATGTTCTGTTGGTGTATGTCCTGAAGCGGTTCCGTCCAGGTATACAACAGGTTTACAAGGGATTTCTGAGGGTATTGTGTCCGCGTTTTCTTCTTGAAAACCCACAAAGTGAAAATCTTGCTTATCATCCCTGATCATTTTTTCTTTGTCCCGCTTCAAAAAAACCTACTGCTTTCAAGTATTCCACTGTCTGAAGTTCACTGATTTTTTTGCTCAAGCTTAACAAATGCAAGAGACTCTTTAGAATTTAATATACATACGATACATATTGGAAAACTAAGAATGCCTGTTACATGTTTTTGGATATATTGATTAAAATGATAGTCCACCGGATTTGACCAGAGGTCAGAGATCAACAGGGTTATGGGTTGTTTTAAAATATCCTCTTATATGGGATTTGATGTATATCCGAATAATACTAAATTATTGTTTTTAACTCTGGGGTTGCCTTCAAACCAAAGGCATTGTAACTTTGAGGAGCACTTTTCTCCAAGTCTTCTCTATGGGGACCGTCAAACAATTCTATTAGACAAGGTTTGGCCCAAAATAATAATGATTGCTGCACTTGGCATGGACACAACATAAGTTTTTCAAAGTTCTTTTTCATAGTTCATACAGCACTTTCAAGAAAACAAAGCTCACACATCAGAGTAAAGATACAATTATAAAAGTTATTAATTTTATTGTTACATTTTGTTTTTTGTGAATAAACATTTTATTTCTGGTCCTGACATAAACTACGAGCAAGGGAGCTATGCAAGTCACGCAGACCATCAGCAAAAATAAAGTAAAAACAAGTAAAAACTGCAATTTTACTGATTGCAGTTGAGCATTCTTTTTACTGATTAGGGTTTAGGTTGGGGTTAGGGTTATGATTAAGTGCTGTTTAGGGTTAAACACTTATTTACCATGGTTAGCTTTCAGTTAATTCTTTCGGTATTACTGTTTTCGATTTTTATGTATTGTTTTCAATGAGTCATATCTGACCTGCATGACTCGCTGCCACGGCTCGCTGGCTCGGATATTATACACACTCTTATCTCTCAAAATCTTGTTTTTTTAACACCTTCTTGGACATGAAAACCAAAAACCAAAGCTTAATTGATATAATGAAGACAGTAGCAGCTGACATAGGTTTTCAATAGTTATCTTGTGAGATGCCTCTCATGTATTATTTATTAGGGAGGATGATTTGTTGAAGACGATACATTAATGTAGATGCTTTTTCATCGAGAGAATCTCAATAATTTAGGATTTATTCAAATTCAAACATATTCAATATTATGACATAAAATGTGGGCTTATTGATCATGCAAAGGTATTGATGGGGGAGAGTGTGGCATTTTTCCTGTTTCAGATTGACCTTTGCACAGCACAGAAACTGAACATATTATGTATTTGGCATTTGTAAAGTATAAACAATATTTGA